TAGAAATCAAGGAATAAGCATAATTACCGGAAGGGAAGAGAAAGGGAAGACCGAAAAAGCTAACCGGCAACTCTATCCCCTCCTTTCTATGTTCCTCGCGCAGCAAAGAAAGATTACTAGATAAAATGTGTGTGTGTGTTTGTGCGTTTGTGTGTGTATGTGTGTATGTATGTATATATATATATGTATATATATATATATATATATTATATATATATATATATATATATATATATGTATGTATATATATATATATATATATATATATATATATATATATATATATATATATACATGTATACATATACACATATACATATATATATACATATATATATATATACATATATATATATATATATATATATATATATATATATGTACATACATATATATACATATATATATATATTATATATATATATACATATATATACATATACATATATGTATACAAATAAGTATATACATATATATATATATATATATATATATATATATATATATATATATATATATATATATACATACATGCACATCAACCGATACTTTTGTATTGGTATCGGTGTAGCTATTCAACAACAGTTTTATCGGTATCACTAAGGTATTTTTCTTAAGATGTATCGAATAAAATCAAGAAATCGAATCATCGATGCATTATATAACTCTATCTATCTATCTATCTATCTATATCTCTCCCTCTCTTCTATCTATTCTATCTTATCTTTCCTCTCTNAGGGAGAGAGACGAAGTGACGACGTCGAAGATATGAGAGAGAAGATGGAGAATGAGATCAGGAGGAGAGAGCAGTAGGGGGACAGAGGAGAGAGAGAGAGAGGCGAGACCAGATGACGATAGGTCTTAAAGATGTGAGGACGAGAAGAGAGAGAGAGAGAGCCAAAACCTTGACAATAGGTGCGGGTGCACGCAGAATACTGAAGGTGTGTCTGCGTGTATCTCTGCATCTCCGACCGCTTGGTAATTTTATTAGACCTTCTGCGGGTGGCGTCAACATCACCCATCATGTATCGAAATGGTCAGGACATGATGGGTTGTATGTATATGCAAGATTTGGTATCCAAGACAGGTGCTTACTAAAAGAAGGGTTGGGGAAGAAGGGTAAGGAGAAGGGGAGGTGGAGGGGATGGAGGTGGAAAGAAGGAGGGAGAGAGGAGAGGTATAGGAAAGGGAGAAAGGAAGGAAGAGAGAGGCGGAGCGAGGAGGAAACGGGAGAAGGGAGAAAGGGGACGGTGAGAGGGAATAAGGAGGAGGATAAGAATAGGGAAAAAGAAGTGAGGAGAGAAGGGAGGGAAGAAGAAGGGGAGAGAATGAGACGAAATACCGGGAGAGAAGGAAGAGGAAGAGTAGTGAGAAGGAGTATTGGGAGAAGAGGAGAACGAGGAGAGGAGAAGACGAGAAGAACAGGGAGAGGGAGGAGGAGAGGAAAAGGAGGAGGGGAAGGGGAGGATAGAAGGGTATTGGTACCCCGGCCGGGTGACAGCGTCGGACAATATGACAAGGATGACAGACATGAACGGTGGCTAGAGATTCCTGTGACACATACCAAGTACTCTCGAAGGGTATAAGGGAGAAGGGGTGAGGGTAGAGGTAGAAGGGGGGGGGGGGGGTCGGTTCGGTCGTCATCTAGCTAAGACACGTTTGTATTTTCTGGAGCATTTTCGTTTTATCATTAACCTTCTTTTTTTTTTACATTTTCCTTAAGACAAAAAATATCACCTTAATAAATCTAATCTCCCATCGCCCAATTTCACAATACCAAATCATCCTCAGATGCATATAAACCAAGGCTAATCTCTGTTTACAACATAGCAATAACAACCGTATCATCTACTGAACCACAATTACCCACTTTTCCTCTCCTTCGCAGCACCACGCAGTCTACCACTGAAACCACAATCCGACGAACAGGTCAAGAAAGGGGAGCTAGATCGGTAGCAACTCGAGGAGGTGTCATGGCGTCTGTTTTGATGACTGTTCAGTGAAACTCTCCTTCTCGCCTTCCCTCCTTTCCCCTTTCCCCTTCCCTTACCCCCCCCCTTTCCCTCCCCTCAACCGTTGAAATAATGTTCCTTCTTTTTTGAAAATTGAAGAGACCAAAATGATTGACCATATTCACAAAGTATCCGTAACTTTTGTGACGTCATCAAAATAAACCCCATGTGCTTTTTTTTTTCCAAAAATAGAATCAGACGCCATGACACCTCCTCGAGTTGCTACTGATCTCGCCTTCCTCGTCAAGAAAGACGTCTAGTTGGGCCTCCGCACCAGCCAGCCACCTCGCGATGTTATACACGATTGTGCTCAATGAGGGAGGTATGTGGGAGGCTGCCACAGTGTGATGTTGCTGAGAGCCTGCTGCAGTGTGGGTTATGCTGGCCTTATATTAGGTTCCATAATGCTATTATCACATTGAGTTTTTATTTCTTGTATTTTCTTAGGTCTGAGATCTGTTTGATCATTTTGGGGGCATAGAGCCGTATCGTATATGCAATTAAATCATATATAGGATGAGATGATTTAGAGGATTATTGTTTTTTCTATTCTTTTTTCATTTTTGTTTTTTTGTTTTTTGTTTTTGACTAATAATAACGTTTATAGGTTTTGTGTGTTCTAGGTCTAAGGGTTCTAAATTATGTGTTTTATACGCTTCTTGTGGTCTTCTTAAATCCAGTGTTATTATTGGCTTTTAATTGTTCTTCGATCCTCACATATATTATAACAATATCATCCTCCTGTGTTGTATGTCGTCCATGGTTTCTAGATTTCTCGATTCTAGGACTTGTAATCACATGATATCATATAAGAGAGAGAGAGGGGGAGGAAGAGAGAGAGAAAAAAAATGAAAGGTAGGTGAAAAAAATAGAAAGAGACAGACAAGCAAACCAATGTTCAGGTCCAAGGAAGCAAAGCACAATAATAATAATAATGAAAATAATAATAATAATAATAATAATGATAATGATAATAACAATAATAATAATGATAATAATAATGATGATGATGATGATAATGATGATAATGGTAAAAATGATAATAATGGTAATAAAAATAATTCACAAGCAGCGAGCAAACAACACACAAAACCCCACAAGCAAAGGGCACACAGCACACAAAACCACACAAGCAACACGCAAACAGTAATAAGGATCACAACAGATAGGGCCACGCAAACAAGACACAAACAAAGAGAAAAAACAACACACAAACAAACATCTCCCTCTCGACACCTCCCCTGAAATCACGGCACAATTAACAGTTATTAACACGCCGCTTAATTGGTATCGCACAGATTTGTTGCAATCACTCTTAATCGTTGAGCAATTTAGAGTCAAACCACCTGCTTCGACCCCCCTCTCTCCCCCTCTCATCGTTTCCCCTCTCTCTTCCTCTCTTTCCTGCTCTCTCTCTCTCTCTACTCCTGTCCCCTCTCTCGTCCCCTCGTCTGCTTTGATGGCTCCTTTCGTCTCTTTCCTCTCTCCTCTCTCCTCAGTCCTTACTCTCACTATTACCTCTGCTTTCTCTCTCTTTCCCTCTCTCCCTCGTCTTATCTCGTCCCCTTTTCTGACTTTCCCATTCCCTCACTCTCCTCTCTCTCCCTCTTTTCTCCTCCCTTCCTTTCCCCTTCTCCCTCCTCTCTCCTTTCCCCTCTTTCCTTTCCCCCTTTCCCTTCCTCTCATCCCCGTCTCCCCTTCCCCCATCTTCTCCACCAACCCCTTTTCTCTCCTCCCCGCCCCTCCCCTCTCTCCCCCCCCCCCCCTCCCTTCCCCCTCTCTCCCTTAATACGTCCTAAGTTGACGTACAAGTCATAACGGCTAAATAACGGACACAGTGATGTAGATTGTAATTCGTTACAACCGTTTTGTGTTCCATTGTAGAGGTGACGGTGAGGTCAGTCAAGGATTATGGTGTAGACCGTGATGACTTGCAGTGAGGATGGTGGAATGGTAGTTATGATGAGGAGTGAGGGTTATAATGTTAGTTATGATGATGAGTGAGAGTTATAAAGGTATTTATGGTTAGGAGTGAAGGTTATAATGGTAGTTATGATGATGAGTGAGTTATGGTTTATGGTTAAGTGAAGGTTAGTTATATATTTATGGTTTAGGAGTGAAGGTTTATAATGGTAGTTATGATGAGAGTAGGGTTGAAATGGTAGCATGGTAAGTAAGGGTTAATGGTCTATGGAGTTATGATGAGGAGTGAGATTTATGATAGTAATTATGGCAAGGAGTGAGGATTATGATGTTGTTTATAGCAATAACAATGGTATCGATGATAAAAGTAGTATAATAATGGGATAATAAGACTGAGATGAGAATGACGACAATGGTGATGTGATAATGATTAATAGCAATGCTGATTAATGATGGTAACAATGATGATGATATGAGATAGCATTATAAGTCCTAGCATTATCAGTAAATACGAATGCCTCTGTTATCTAATAATGAAATAGAAAAATAAGCCTTCCTTCTAATCTAAATATCCACATATTTCCTTACATTGTCTCTGTCCTTAATCATATACTTCGTACCCCTTTCTCTCCTTCTCTTCCTTCTTCCTTACTTCCCTCCATCCCTCTTCGCTCCTTCGCTCCTTAGAACATCTTCCC